AGCGCGTTCCGTAGCGCGTTCCGTAAGTTCTGGGGCAGCTCGAGCTTAAGATCCAGATCAGTTCGGTCAGGACTCGGATGCAAAGGAGGATTCGATCCACGACGCTATAGAGCACAATCGCGGCATGGCACATCGCAATTCAGCACGGTGCAGCACAACACAGCTTTCGGCAGGGTACATCAAGATCGATACACTCAGCATTGCATTTGCCCGTCACCCAATCTGGTGTTTTTGAAAACGTTGCCATGCGTTTATATTTCTATATTCCTTTTCCGGGTTCGTCGGTCGATTTTTTCATTAATATATATATATAAATATGTTTATAAAAAAACCAAACATATTATACATTTCCAAGGAAGTGGAATGTTTTTTGCCCCGTGGGGCCCTCTTTGCGAGCTTCTGGAGGCGCTCTTGGGCTGTCTCGGGGGCCTTGTGGGCCATCTTGACGCCATGTTGGATCGTCGTGGGGCTACTCTGAATTGTTTTAGACACTCCCCCGGTTTCATTTTCGACTCACAGCGACACTTCTGCAGCTGTGAGTTGGTTCTAACAGGAAGAAAGCGCCCGCCCCGCCGCGCGCGTCCGCCCGGACGGCGGGGTCTAGTCTGTCAGTCGTGCCAACCAAAGTTTAAACGCTCATCTTACCGCACTCATGGCATGGAGGGGTGCATCACCTACATTACTTTCACCGAAGGTAAGCCTGAGCAAGAGGCTTCAACGATATGATGAAGAGTTACCATTCAATCTGGTAAAGGATATGCCGCTGTCAAGGAAGGGCGGACAAAACATGGGTTCTCAGCCGAAAGTTCTGTCTTCGACAAACTAGGTTCTACCTGACGGAGGAACGATGTTCCTTCCATCCAAAGGTGATGTATGTCCCGACGATGGACCACGCCGGGAGATGAGTGTGGACGTTCCTGAATCCGATTCCGCCGACGATGTCGGGGAACCGAGTCGACGTCTCCCCGACAAAATATCCTAGAACCTCTCGTGCGCCGACGAGCCTCGTCCTGGTTGGTGCCCCGAGACCGAAAAACAAGGTCACCGCGCGACAAGGCCAATGCGGAGATGGATACATGAGTCTCATTCCGCTCGACTACCGCGCGGACGCTTCCGGGCGCCTCTCCAGCGACGACCGCCGCGCGGAGACCGTATCATCGAAGGGGAATTTCTCGCGCAGATCCACGCCTAAGTCGATTGGTTTTCGTGAGGATCAGGAACCGTCTGTCGAGGGGTGCGGGGTCTATGACCGCGTGCCCCCCGCCCCGCTGGGTGATTTTGTGCAACGTGGTGAGCCAGTGCCGCCCATGCATAGAGAAGATGCAGCGATTCCATCCGATGATTCTGTGGAGCGGCACCTTGGTGGGCATTGTAGATGAGTAGTTTGCGGATGGCTTCGTTCGGTGGGCGAGCAAGCAGAGACAAGAAGCTAACGGCCTTTCGATTATTTCGCCTCTAGGGAAGCGAAGCAGTTCTGGTGACGTCCTGGAGCAATTGCCCGATGTTCGTTCCGGGGGTGGCACCCAGGAGCTATTCCCCCGGGCCTTCCAGGCGGACATCGACGCTTGAATTTCCTGACCTGCGTGCCCGTTCTCCCCGCGAGAGAAGCGCCGGGGAGAGGCAGGCCCAGGGCCCCAAGGCCGCGATCGAATATCAAGCGCATTCAGCATGCGAATCAATGCCAAATGTGCGGTCGGGCAGTTATTTTCGGGGGATCATGGCCCTGGGGGCGTGACAACAAGTGGGCTCCTAACGTCCCAGAGCGGGGCAAACGTGAAAACACGTGGGTTCCCCACGCTCCAGGGCGGGACAAGCGTGAACGCACGTGGGTTCCTAACGCCCCAAAGCGGGACAAACGTGAAACCACCTGTGCTCCTAACGCCCCAAAGCGGGACAAGCGTGAAACTGTTTCCTTGGCGCTTCCCCTGCCTGTTCCGTGGCGCGTCCTTTACCGCGTCCCCTGCCTGACGCATCCCCTGGCGTATCCCGTAGTGTGTCATTGGCACCTTCCGTGGCGCGTCCATGCATTCGCCCTGCGCCCCGTGTCGTCTCGTCCCGCTTCTAAGCTGAGTCGGATCTTGAGCTCGAGCTGATTGAGCGTCCAACACTTTGGGATTGCAGCGGGCTCAGGCAGTTCGAGCTTAAAGTCCATATCAGTTCGGTCAGGATTTGGAGTCCATGGGCGATATGATCCACAACACTACAGAGCACAACGCGAGTCATCGCGGCATAACACCTTCCACTCGCACGGCACAGCACAACATAGCCTTGGGCACGGTACATCACGATCGATACCGTCAGCATCGCCGCATGCACCGCGCGACGCGTCCCTTGGCATGTCTAGTGGCGCGTTCCGTGGCGCGTCCCCTGGCACGTCCTTGTGCGGCGCGGCGCAACGCAGAGCAACACAACATAGCCCATGCCACAGTAACATCATTATTGATAGGTTCAGCATTGCCACTACCCGTCGCCCTTCGCCCCGTGTGATTTACGAGGGATCGTGACCCTCTGGCACGTTTTCTGGCACGTTCCCTGGCGCCTCCCCTGGGCACGTCGCGCGGCGCGTCTCCTGGCACGTGCCCTGGTTTGTTTCCTGGCACGTCCGCCAGCACGTTCTGTGGCGCGTCCCGCGGCGCGCCCCCCTGGCACATGCCGCGGCGAGTCCCCTAGCACGTCCACTGGCACGTCCCCCTGGCACGTTCCGTGGCGCGTCCCCTGGCGCGTCCCCCTGGCACATCGCGCGGCGCGCTGGCGCGTCCCCTGGCCGGTCCACTGGCACGTTCCGTGGCGCGTTTCCTGGCACGTCAATGTGCGGAGCGGCACAGCGCAGAAAAACACAAAACAGCTCCACGGCACCGCCGCATCGCCATTGATGTCTTCATCATTGCCACAGCCCATCGCCCAAGTGAGGTGCTTGGAACGTTCCCAGGCTTCGCAGTTCCAAATTTTTCCCGGAAAGGGCTTTGGCCCAGGGTTCTCTTTTAGTATGTAAACATGTCCCCGGTGCCCAACTTGAAGGAGTCCGGCGGATTCTTTCCCTGATAAATATCGAGGTCGAAGGAGGCCGGCGGATTAAAATTTGAGGATGTCTCAGGCGAAACGCTTGTTTTTGAAATCCCGATCGATAAATCACAGGGTGCGGGACACCTCAGCACGACCACACCCCCAGCATGGCCACACCCCAGCACGACCACGCCCAGCACGACCACGCCCCAGCACGACCACACCCCAGCACGACCACACCCCAGCACGACCACACCCCAGCACGACCACACCCCAGCACGACCACACCCCAGCACCAGCCCGACCACACCCCAGCACGACCCGATCGATAAATCACAGGGTGCGGACCACCCCAGCACGACCACACCCCAGCACGACCCCACCCCAGCACGACCCCACCCTAGCACGACCACACCCCAGCACGACCACACCCCAGAACGACCACACCCCAGCACGACCCCACCCAAGCACGACCCCACCCCAGCACGACCACACCCCAGCACGACCACACCCCAGCAGGACCCCACCCCAGCACGACCCCACCCCAGCAAGACCACACCCCAGCACGACCACACCCCAGCACGACCTCACCACAGCACGACCACACCCCAGCACGACCACGCCCCAGCACGACCACGCCCCAGCACGACCACGCCCCAGCACGACCACCCCCCAGCACGACCACCCCCCCAGCACGACCACCCCCCAGCACGACCACACCCCAGCACGACCACTCCCCAGCACGACCCACACGTGGAATGTTTCGTGGGGTGTCTCGTGGAAGGTGTCTCGTGGAATGTTTCGTGAGGTGTCTCGTGGAATGTTTCGTGAGGTGTCTCGTGGGATGTTTCGTGAAGTGTCTCGTGGGATGTTTCGTGAGGTGTTGCCCAGTTGGGTATCGTGAAAACGTGTCCATGCTCCACATGTCTATATCCCTTTCCGGGTTCGTGGGTCCATCATGTTCCCTCCCCTCCGATCGATGGCCCTTCCTCCTTCTCCCCCTCGTCCCTACCCTGCGAGGACAGTGCGCATGACCAGTCCAGTTATATAGAAGAACGTCTGGTGATCCTGCTGGTTGCAGTTCTATACGCTCGAACGCCCAGAGGCCCCCCTAAATCTCTAAGATTGACGTTCGTTTCGATCGACCACATCGTGCCACCGGGCACTCCGGTGCGTAGTGATGGCTGCCGTCCAACCGCAAGAATCTCTAAGATTGACGTTCGTTTCGATCGACCACATCGTGCCACCGGGCACTCCGGTGCGTAGTGATGGCTGCCGTCCAACCGCAAGAATCTCTAAGATTGACGTTCGTTTCGATCGACCACATCGTGCCACCGGGCACTCCGGTGCGTAGTGATGGCTGCCGTCCAACCGCAAGAATCTCTAAGATTGACGTTCGTTTCGATCGACCACATCGTGCCACCGGGCACTCCGGTGCGTAGTGGTGGCTGCCGTCCAACAGAGCAAACTTCTCGGACTCGCCGCGCGAGTTCTCGCGGTCTGGTTCTGGGCGCCCCGAGCTCTGGACCGCCGCCGTCGCGTCCGGTTTTTTCTGGACGCCCGAAATGGGTACGGAAAGAATGGGTACAATGCCCAACAGCAGTTCCTGTTCATTCTGAACAGGACTCGCTGTCCACGCCGCCGCGGCCTCTGTCCATTCGAGACAGGAGGCCGCCTGCCCAACAGCGGCCGCTGTTGGTATGGGACAGCATTTGTTGTTGGGCTTTCCGTACCCATTTCGGGCGTCCAAATGTTTGTTTGTCGTTCGCACACAGAATGGCAGTTCTATGCTACAGGGGTTCTGGCAACTGAGGCAAACGTGGTCTCGATTTGGTGCTGGGTCCCTCGTGACAGCCATCAAGGAGTGCGGAAACGCGCAGCAGTGGAGGGCAGCATTGAAACTATTCAGAGATTCGTCGCGATCACGTTTTCAAGTCGGAACACTCGATTACAATGTCGCCATCAGTGCATGTGGAAAGGGCAGGCTGTGGCAGCTCGCTGTGTCGTTGCTCTGCGAGTTGTGGGAATCGCTGCTAGAGGCAGACGTTGTCAGCTTCAACTCTGGAATCAGCGCGTGCGAAAAGGGCGGACGGTGGCAGCATGCGCTGTCCTTGCTCCGTCGGATACGTGAAGTGGAGCTGCAGGCGAACTCGATAAGCTACAATTCTGGAATCAGTGCGTGCGAGAAGGGCGAGAAGTGGCCTCAGGCGTTGTGGCTGCTCCGCGAACTGCAGGAGGCAGCGCTAGAGGTGGACGTGATCGGCTGCAATGCTGGAATCAGCGCGTGCGGGAAAGGCGGGCAGTGGCAACGGGCGTTGCATCTACTCCGCGGTTTGAGTGAAGCTGAGCTGGAGCCAGACGTGATCAGCTTCAACTCTGGAATCAGCGCGTGCGACAAGAGCGGGCAGTGGCAGCGGTCGTTGCTGCTGTTCCATGAGATGATAGAAGCGGTGCTGGAGGCAACCGCGATCAGCTACAATGCTGGAATAAGTGCGTGCGAGAAAGGCGGGCTGTGGCAAGGTGCGCTTTGGCTGCTCGGCGAGCTGTGGGGAACGACGTTGAGGCCAGACGTAAGATCTGTCTACAATGCGTTGCCGCAGGAGCTCCAGGCACTGGCATTGGTGACGCTCCCCCTTCTGGGTGGCAGCTGTTCTATTCGTCATTCCCCTCGCGGATGGCTCTCCTCGGCTCCTCTCCGTCGCTTTGCGATGCGTTTTGTGCAGCAGCGCTCGGGATATTATGACACACAGCGTGTTTTAAGCTTCAGTCAACACATCGACTTGTCGGCTTAGTCGGAGCTGAACCTCATTGGGCTTCTCTTGGGTCGTCTTGGGGTGCCCATGGGCTGTACTTGGGCTCCGTGGGAGTTTGAGGTAACCCCTCGGGAGCCTCGTGCCTCTCGGAAGCCTCCTGGAAGCAGGTTCGAAGCCTCTTGGGCGCTGGTTTGGGGCCTCTTGAGGGTTCTTGGGGGTCTCTTGGGGTCTCCTGGGGGGCTTCCTGGGGGCTTCTTGAGGCCTCTGGGGGGCCTCTTGGGGCCTCCTGGCGGTGCTTGGAACGGAAGGCTCGAGCTTTCCGTTCGTGGCGCCCCTCCGGGCCGCCTCTTGGGCTCTTCTTGGGGCCCTCTTGGGTCGTCTTGGGCGGCCCTTGGGCCGTTTTGGTGCTCTCTTGGGCTGTCTTGGGGCCCTCTTGGAGGCCTCTTGGGCTGTTTTGGGGCGATCTTGGAGGCCTCTTGGGCCGTCTTGGAGCTTCGGAAAGCCTAAAAAGTGAAGTTGCGAAAAAAAATACATTCTACGAAAGGATACGGCAATTTTTGCGCCTGGGGACCTTCTTGGGGCGCATCTTGGAGGCCTCTTGGGGCATCGCAGAGGCGTCTTGGGACGTCTGGAGGCCATCTGGAGCGGCTGAGAACGATCTGGATGGACCCGTCTGGATGCTCTCCAGGGCCGTCGTGGGGCTTCCTTGGGCCGTCTTGGGGCGCTCGCGGGCCGCCCCCGGGCGTTTGTAGGGTCGGCTTGGGGTTCTTGGGTCGCTCAACTTGGGGGGGTCTGTGAGGGACCGCCGGCAGAGGTTGAGCCCCTGGGAGGAAATTCTGGAGGTAAGTTCTCGGGAAGCCCCTAAAAGGCGAGACCGTGCGAGACCTCTCGGACAAAGTGTCTGGCAGTCTTTGGCCCCCTTCTCCAGTGCCTGGTCAAAAACCTCCTGAAAGTCCGTCCGAGGAGGCCCACTCTGCCGCCGGCCCCACTCTGCCGCCGGCCCCCTTCAAGGTCTCAAACGGCCCGGGGACGACCCAAGGGCGCCCCAAGCCGGTCCCAGAGAGTCCCGAGCAGTCCAAGAGAGCCTGCAGACGGTTCCAGATCGCTCCAAGACGCCTAAGATGGCCTCCAGACGGCCCAAGACGCCTCCAAGACGGCCCAAGAGGGCTCCAAGAGCACCCCCAAGAGCCCCGAGAAGCAAAAATCATTGATTTTTCAATGTTTTTTGAAGGATTTTCACGTTCACGCCATTTCGGCTTACCCACGCTCCACGACGGCCCAAGAGGCCCCCCAGATCGCCCCAGGACGGCCCAACAGGCCCCTAAGACGGCCCCAAGACGGCCCAAGAGGGCCCCAAGACCGCCCAAGAGGCCCCCGGGACGGCCCAAGAGGGGCCCCAGGATGGCCCCAAGAGGAGGCCCAGAAGGGGTACCCGAATGAACATGTCGAGCTTTCGGCTCAAGAGGCCCCCAGGAGGCCCTAAGAGGCCCCCTGGAGGCCCCCAACAAACCCCAAGAGAGCCCCAAGAGGGCCCCAAGAGGGCCCCAAGAGGTCTCCAAGAAGCCCCTGGGACGCCCCCAAGAGGCCCCTAAACTGCCCCGCAGAAGCCTCCGAGAGCCCTCTCGAGAGACCCCAGGAAGCGTCCATGAGGACTCCGTCCGACCCAAAACCCAAGCACGGTGGCGGGATGGGGCGACGGCTATTTGATAGCTGGCATACGCGCCGCGTCACGACTTTCGATGCTGCGCACCTCTTCGAAAAACTCCCAGGGAGCGGCCGGCGATGCGCCGCCGGCGTCCTCGATTCTGGAGGTTTTGACCCGACCCTGGCGCTTCCTGCCAGGCACGCTGACAGAGTGGTCTCGCACGGCCCAACCCGCAGGGCGGGAGCGGCCAGATCTGAAGGGATTCGCCTTCTGCCGCCGGCCCCCGCCCATGCGGAGCTAGCATGGGAATCTACTGGGGTCTAGGGGTTCCGCTTCTGTCAGCTACAATGCTGGAATCAGCGCGTGTGAAAAAGGTCAGCAGTGGCAGCATGCTCTTTGCTTGATTTCTGAATTGCGGAACGTAGACTTGGAGCCAGATGTCATCAGTTACAACGCCGGAGTCAGTGCATGCGAGAAGTGCGAGGAATGGCAGCAGGCGCTGCTGTTGGTCAGTGTAATGTCGGAGACGGAGTTGCGTCCAGACGTAATCACTTACAGTGCTGCGGTCAGTGCATGTGAAAAAGGTGGGCAGTGGGAGCAAGCGCTGCACATTCTCAGCGAATCGCTGGAAGTAAAGTCGTCGCCTAACACTCTGCTCTACAGCGCTGGAATCAGCGCGTGCGAGAAAGGGGGGCGCTGGCAGCCCGCCTTGGGGTTGCTCGACGAGCTGCTGCAAGCGAAGCTGGAGGCAGACGTGGTCACGTACAACGCTGCAATCAGTGCGTGCGAGAAAGGGCGGCAGTGGCAGCGGGCCCTGCTGCTGTTCGAGGAGCTGCGCGAAGCCAGGCTGGAGGCAAGCTTGATTAGCTACAGCGCGGGGATCAGCGCCTGCGAAAAGTGCGGGCGGTGGCGCCTGGCGCTGCTGCTGCTCGGCGAGCTGTGGGAGGAGAGGCTGACGCCCAACACCATCTCGCTGGCCCGGTACCCCGGCGCTGACCCCTCGCTTCTTGGGAGTTCCATGTTTGCTTCCGCGGCCCGTGGCCAGGTCGAAAGCTGCAGCGACTGAGACTGGTGATAGAGATGCCCTGGACACCCCTATTGCCAACCTGGACCGATCAGCAGAGACATTTATTTCCCATGAAGGGCGTCTGTCTTGGGTTCTCTTTTTCCCGGAAAGGGCTCTGGCCCAGGGTCCTCTTTCAGTTGGTTGCTGCAAGTTTTTCCCGGAACGGGCGTGGGCCCAGGGTTCTCTTTTAGTATGTTTTCCCCCCGGCCCCGACGGCTCTAGGGCGGGCGAAATTATGCTGCGATGAATAACGAGGTGAAGTGGACTTTTCAGTTGAACAAGTGCGTTTTTCGCCTACCCGCTCGAGGAAAGTTTGCCCCCCATGTCGGATCCTCGATAAATAACAGGGTCCGCAGACCACCGTTTTCCTTTGCAAACAAAAAGGGTTCGGCGCGTTTTGTGCGGAATCCGCGAGAAATAACAAGGTCTGGAGCCCCGACCGCGACGCGGAAAAGCGCCCCGCGCGCAGGAATTCCGAGGATGTCTCGCGCGTGCCGCGTCCCGCGCGCAGGAATTTCGAGGATGTCTCGACTAATTCGTTGGTTTTTTTCTGGAAAGGGCGTGGGCCCAGGGTTCTCTTTAGTTGGTTTACCCCAGTTTTGACTTGAAGGAGGCCGGCGGATTTCCGCTCGATGAAAAAACGAGGTAAAGTCCAATTCGGCGTGAAAAACTGCGTTTCGCCCGTGCCCGCTCGAGGAAAATGAGCCCCCCCAGCTTAGATCCTAGATAAATAACGGGGTCCGCGGACCACCGTTTTCCTTCGTAAAAAAGAGGGTGCGGGGTATGACGGGAAGCGTCTTCGAGGTACGAGAAGCAAGCGGGACGTTCTGGCTGAATCCTTGAGTAAATATATCTTTTCTTTAACTATATGGGTTGCCGCGCTGCACGGGATTTTTCGTTAGCGGATGACGGGAAGCGTCTTCGAGGTACGAGAAGCAAGCGGGACGTTCTGGCTGAATCCTTGAGTAAATATATCTTTTCTTTAACTATATGGGTTGCCGCGCTGCACGGGATTTTTCGTTGGCGGATTTCAGAAATGAGCATTTCGCTCGAGACATCCTCACAAAAGTAAGATGTTCGCAACATCATCTTGAAACCGAGAGGAGCACGGCAGACCAAGACGAGGAGCACGGCAGACCAGGCACCAAGAGCGCCCTCAAGACGACGGAAAGGATGACCAAGACGAGGAGCACGGCAGACCAAGACGAGGAGCACGGCAGACTATGCCCTAAGAGTGCCCTCAAGACGGCCGAACAATCATCAAACAAACAATGAGTCTAACGTCGTCTTGGAATCGTTTTTGAGGGCATCAGTACGGCCCCCCAAAAACAAAATCGGCCCAAAGATGACCCGCAGAGTGCCCTCAATACGGCCGACCATGACGATTTCGCTGGGGACGTGTTCAATAAATTAAGAGTGTATCAGCACCGTCTGCTGCAACAACGCTGTGCTGGTCTGCCGTTCTCCTGTGGTCAGCTGTGCTGCTCTGCCGTGCTCCTGCGGTCTGCCGTTCTGGTCTGCCGTTCTGGTCTGCCGTGCTCCTGTGGTCTGCCTTCCTGGTCTGCCGTGCTGCTGCCGTCTGTCGTGTTGCTGCGCTGTGCCGTGTAAGCTGATAAACCGGTCAGACCGATGAAGAAAACGAGAGTCGGGTTACAACGGCTACGCAGATTTAAACTGCTAGTCCAAAGGCTCTCCAGAGGACCCCAACATCTCCCAAGCACACCCCGAGAAGTCCATCATCATCATCATCCTCATCATCATCATCATCATCATCATCATCATCATCATCACCATCATCATCACCATACTCATACTCATACTCATCATCATCATCCTCCTCCTCCTCATCATCATCATTATCATCATCGTACGCATCACCATCACCATCAGCAGCAACATGATCATCACCAACAACAGCAGCGTCAATGACATGATCTGGTCTGCTATGTTCCTATGGGCTGCCGTGCTGGTCTGCCGTGCTGGTCTGCCGTGCCGGACTGCCGTGCTCGTCTGCCGTGTCGGTGTGTTGTGCTGGTCTGCCGTGCGGGTCTGCTGTTCTGGTCTGCCGTGCTGAAGCTGAAGCTTTCGGGGCTTAAAGCCAGAGAAAGAGAGAGACATAGAGAGATAGAGAGGGAGAGAGAAAAAACAACAATTAAAAACAGGGGCAGGCCATCTTGGGCTACACCCCAGGGCCCTCCAGGCCGCCGTGCTGCTGCGGCCTGCTGTGCTCCTGTGCTCCTGTTACCTTGCCTCTGTGTGGTCTCCCGTCGAGAGCACACAGAGGCGGCAAGATGCGTTCACGCCTCGTCTCGGTTCAAGGCCGTCGATCGCCAGGCCATTACAATTCGAACAATCATGCCTCGCGCCCTGGTTCAAACGGCCGCGACGTGTGGCGAGGCTCGGTTCAAACGGCCACACCTCGGTTCAGCCCGCCACGCCCGGATCAAACGACCACGCCGCTACGATTCGAACGGCCATGTCGCGCCCCGCCCCGTCTCGCCCGCCCAGCACACACCCTGCACACACGCTCGCACACATGCACAGAGCTGCACACAGCCGCACACACAGGCACACGCCCACAGGCACACGCACACACACGCACACGCTCACTTTCGCTCTCTCTCTCACACACACACACGCACAGGCAACATACGTTCACGCTGACCGCAGGAGCACGGTAGACCAGCACGGCATAAAAGAGCATTGCTGCGGACCACCTCGCACGGACGCACATGCACATACTCCACGCACGCGCACGCGCAAGCGCAAACGCACGCACGCCACGACAGACCTGCGGGGCAGACCAACACAACAGAGCACATTTCGCACACCTAGTGGGCAAAAGCGACGCTTCCCGTTCTTGTCCGGTCAGGTTCCCCAAAATGGCCATTTCGCCCGAGACATCCTCCTAAAATCGAGGTGTTGGAGGCTATCGTTTAAGACGTCTTATGTTAAAAATGACGGTTTCGCCAGAGACATCCTCAGAAAGTCGGGGTGTTGAAAAATGTCAAGGATTTTTGTTGTGCATGAAAAATGAGCGTTTCGCTCGAGACATCCTCGACAAAATGAGATGCCGACAGAGGTGTTTTACAACCTCTTATGTTAAAAATGACGTTTTCGCTAGGGACGTCCTCAGAAAATGAGCAGGAGCACGGCAGCCAGACCAACAGGAGCACGGCAGACCACACAAGAGCACGGCAGGCCACACAGGAGCACGGCAGACCACATAGGAGCACGGCAGACCACAAAGGAGAACGGCAGACCACACAAGAGCACGGCAGACCCCACAAGAGCACGGCAGACCCCACAGGAGCACGGCAGACCCCACAGGAGCACGGCAGAGCAGACCCAAAAGGAGCACGGCAGACCACACAGGAGCAAGGCAAACCACAGGAGCACGGCAGACCACACAGGAGCACGGCAGACCCCACAGTAGCAAGGCAGACCCCAAAGGAGCACGGCAGACCACCGGAGCACGGCAGACCACACAGGAGTACGGCAGACCCCACATGAGCACGGCAAATCCCAAATGAGCACGGCAGACCACAAGAGCACGGCAGACCACACAGGAGCACGGCAGACTCCACAGGAGCACGGCAGACCACAAAGGAGCACGGCAGACCACACAGGAGCCCGGCAGACGCCACAGGAGCACGGCAGACGCCACAGGAGCACGGCGGAACCCACAGGAGCACGGCAGACCGCGCGCGGGTACAACATAAACGCGCCTTTTTGTTGTACCCCGAACGCCGCTGGCGTTTCCCCCACAGGAGCACGGCAGATCTCACAGGCGCGCGGCAGACCCCAAATGAGCACGGCCGACCACAGGAGCACGGCAGACCCCAAATGAGTACGGCAGACCCCAAAGGAGCACCGTAGACGCCTCAGGAGCACGGCTGACCACACAGGAGCACGGCAGACCACACAGGAGCGCGGCAAACCACAAAGGACCGGAAAAATTGTCATTCCGCTCAAAAAATCTGACCAAGACGCGCCCAAGACGGCCACCAGGGCTCCAAGACGGCCCAAGAGCGCTCCAAGACCGCCCTAGAGCGTTCCAAGATGCCCTAAGATGGCTTCCAGACGGTCCAAGAGAGCTCCAAGACGGCCCAGGAGGCCCTCAAGAGGCCTCCAAGACGCCTCAAGAGGCTTCGAAGAGGCCTCACCAGCGCGCCAAAGAGGCAAACATCTATGATTTTTGAATAGTTTTTGAAGGTTTTTGGGGTTCGCCGTTTCGCTCGACTCCGAAACAGCATTATCTTGGAATCGCTCCCGGAGGGCCTCCAAACGGCCCAAGAAAGCCCCCGAAGGCCACCCAGAGGACCCCCCGAGCGCCCCAAGAGACCCCCAAGAGGCCCCCAAGGGGCGGCCAGAGGCCCGCCAGAGCGCCCAAAACGCCCCAAGAGACCCCCAAGAAGCCCCCCAGGGGCTCCAAAGAGGCGGCCAGAAGTCCCCCAGAACGCGCGAAAAGGCTCCAGGAGTTCCCTGAGAGCTTCATATCGCCCCATAGAGCCCCCGAAGGCCCCCCCCGGGACTCCCCCAAGAGGCCCCCGAGAGGCCAGAGGCTACGACAGCCCCAAGAGCGTCCAAGATACCTCCAAGACGGCGCCGAAGCCAGGAAACGCAACCAAAAAATTCTCTGACGTTCTCGCCAATACGGTCTCTGACGCACGTGGTGGATAAAAAACTGCGCTTCCCGTCCTTGTCCGGTCAGGTTTTCAGCAGAATCTTTGTGAAATAGCGAGGTCTGGAGCCCCGACCGCGACGCACAAAAGCGTCCCGCGCCGCGCGCAGGAATTCCGAGGATGTCTCGCGCGTGCCGCGTCCCGCGCGCAGGGATTTCGAGCATGTCTCGACTAATTCACTGGTTTTTCCCGGAAAGGGCGGGGGCCCAGGGTTCTCTTGTAGTATGTTTACCCGCGGTTTCGATGGCTGTAGGGCCGGCGGAATTATTTTGCTATAAATAACGAGGCCGCCTAGGGCCGGCGGAATTATTTTGGAGGACGTCTCGAGCGAAACGCTA